TAGCAATTCATAAAGCTATTGAAAATGTCTGGCCGAATATAACAATAATTGGATGCCGATTTCATTTAACTCAATTATGGTGGAGAAATATTCAAAAGTGTGGTTTAACTTTTTTCTATAAAGACGAATCTTCAAAAATTGGTAAGTGGATACGGTACACATTTGGTTTAGTATTTTTAAACCCGGATGAAGTATCAAATTGTTATATTGAATACCTACTATCAGACTGTCCAGTAAATGACAAATTAACAAAGTACTGTGACTATTTAACCGATACTTAYATCTCTGAAGATAATTTATTTCCACCGAATATTTGGGCATATAATACATCGGAATTAATAAGAACAACTAAATAACGCGTGTGAATCTTTTCATTCTTTTTTTAACAAAAGTTTTAATCATATTTCTCCACYAATAAGTGTCTGGTAAAGTGTTATTAATGAAATTCAAACTGAAGTCTACATTAAATTAAATAATGTGCATTTACAAAGGTGTCCCAAACATAAAAAAATTATAGATCGACAGCGAAAAAATGAAGAAAAAATACAATAATATAAAGCAGGAACAATTAATCGGTATGATTTTATTAAATCAATGTCATTTAACTATTCTGTTTAAAATTTTGACGATTTATACTTTTGATAAAAACTTACTCTTATATTATATTAAAATTATATTAATGTACAAAAACACAATACATTTTTGGAGAGTAATAGAAGCCRCCTCYTCGTGGTACTCTCTGGGTAATGCTAAATGGCTTTATAAAATTAACTAATACAAATTTATAATTTAAATATAACAAATTTATTATTATGTCAGATATAAATAATTTAAAGTAAGTGTTTCCCAAAGTGTGTATTATAAAAATTTGGTCGAAAAGTGCTATATAATATTCTTGGGCGAAAAGCGAAGCGTCATTTTTGGGCTAACGGGGTYTTGCCCGGTGTTTCTTGAGTTATGCTAATAGGCTAAATATTTTACTAAACATTGAAAAAAATATATAATCACCCGGGAATCAACTCAACGGTATCGGTGCAGGTAAACAGGTACCCGAGAATCAACTCGTACGCAGCCCAACAGGTTAGGTTAAAATTTGAGGACTAGGTGTGCAAATAAATAAATTGCTTGCTAAATATTGGAATTAAATAAATTGCAATAAATTATATTGTGATACGCAGGTGAGAGYATGGTTAGGAATACATGTCGCACGTCCCAACCTTTAAGTAGGTACCTATTGATCTTACGTATACGCCTAAACTAAATGTATTTAATGTTTCATGATAATTTTTTTACATTACATGCCAAGTAATCGCTTATAAAAATGACATATTTTTCGCTGCGGATAAATTGAGGACATGTATGTTGTATCAGTTAAATCACCGTAATAAGTACAACATTAGAATTTAAGATGATGATACGTTCCATATTTCACGAAGGAGCCTCATATAATTTATATTTTTTTCTTGAAACCTTTGAAGTGTCGAAAATATACCGTTTGGGTGAGTGGTTTATTTTTATTTCTTTGTTTCTACTTTCAACTTAAAAATAATACAATATTATACGCATGTCGATTTATCATGTATTATAAGATATTATGAAATAATATTGTTATTACGTTTAGTTGTCGCGATCGAGGAATAATACCGGAACGGAAACGATACGGTTGAGACGTAGGTACACTGTTTTGAAAACATTTTTTTTTTTAAATCTAAAGCACTTTATTAACGACATATTACCTATTATGATGAGAATAAAACCATATTTTTATGCACGAACATATCCGTAACTGATGCGTGTTACACATGTGTACCTAATATTATAATTTTTAATATTATGCAGAATAATATAATACTGCGGCCTACAGAGGTCAATAAAATCTGATTCAAGACTTCATTATTTTACACAATTTGAAGTTATTGTTTAATTTGTAATAATTTCTTAATAATAATTATTATGCTATAAATTATTTACGTTATGGACATTTTGTTGTAGATTTTCAAGATTTTCAAGATTTGCAAATTATTATTTAATTTATTCAATAGACGTGAACATTGTTTTAAATTTATTATTTATACTAATTGTATTATCTGACTTTGCCGGGGAAAATCCGCATACAGCGCATATTGTCTTTTACATGATAAAATTGTGTGTGTGTGTGTGTGTGTGTGTATAACTTAGTTTTACTGGGTATGCAATTGATACAAGTTGAGTAATTTAGTCAATTTATTTTTACCTAGTAAATATTTTTATGAGGCATATTAGGTATATTTTATACTGTTGAAATAATATATTATATAGTAGTGACACAATATAAAAAATATAACAATGGTTAACGTATTGTCTGTGATATTTAAAAAACATTGTTGTGAATTTTGTTTGTATTTAAATAATGAATGTGAGTACCAAAGATGAGCATTAAAAAGCCGCATGGCACCAAACCCAGGAGTCTTCGTGCTTGATGAGAATTTCATTGAAATTTTTAGAGGTACCTACCCATTAATGTTTAAAATAATATAGCTGCTTTTTAATAATTATAACATATTAAGAAATGTTATCAAACTAACATCTATAACACATAAGTTATGAAATTAGCTATAATAGTTTATTTTTGACAGTTCTAAAGTATCTGTAACTAATTAGAGCAAAATTATATTTAACGCACGAACATACTAATTTTAATATATTCATTTTCAATAATGCATAGATACCTAGTCAAAAATATAATAGATATTGGTACTTAGGTATATGGAGTGAAGGTCATAAAGTTATTCAAATGTTATATTGTTATGTTTAATTATAACCGCAACGTTTTAAGATAAATTATCTAAAAAAGAATAATATATATATAGTAAAGTTTCTCTTAGAAATCCATRTAATAATTATTGTTATTTTTAAATTCAATAGTGTTCAATTAAATTTCAAAAAACTTTAAAATATCTATACTTCAGATTTTACCTTAGAACAATTATTTGTTTCATAATTTATGAAAATAAAAACCTAGTAAGAACCTATTTGATATTAAGAGAATTAAAAA